ATTGATTACATTTGTAGGGTTTCTCTCCTGTATGTGTTCTTTTATGCTTCTGGAGATACCAGTGTTGGGAAAAGGCTTTATCACAGTGATTACATTTGTAGAGTTTCTCTCCTGTATGTGTTCTTTTATGTACCTGGAGATACCAGTGTTGGGAAAAGGCTTTATCACATTCATTGCATTTGTAGGCTTTCTCTCCAGTATGAGTTTTTTTATGTTTCTTGAGACCATATTTTCGTGAAAACAATTTATAACATTCATCACATTTGTAGGATTTCTCCCCAGTATGAATTCTTTCATGACTTTTAAGATGACTGTCTTTTGCAAAAGCTTTACCACATTGATTACATTCATAGGGTTTCTGTGCAATTTGTGTTCTTTTACTTATTTGGAGACTTATGTAAGGTGCAAAGGCTTCGACACACTGAATAACTTCATGAGGTGTCTTTTCTGTATGAAAACTTTCATGCCTTTGAGCAGAACTGTGAGCATGTAGAGCAATGGCTTTACCACACTGTGTATATTCAGAGGGTTTCTCTGCACTCTGACTTCTTTCATGCCTGAGAAGAAAATTGGCACATTTGAAAGCTTTACCCCACTGATGAATATTTTTGTCCCTAGGAATTAATGGTACTATTGCCTAAATATAAAGAGGAATCAGACCTTAAGATTATATCACTTTGTTTACATGCATGCTGTTCCCTTGATTATGGGTTGTTTTTCATTTTCAAAGACATCTCAGATTGTATCGGCATTTATTATACAGCTAAGCTTTACATATTCTTTTTGAATAAAAGGTTTTTCTCACACTTGATAAAAAGTGGAAGAATTCAGACCTTTAACCCACTAACTGTATTCCATTTTTACTCTACCATGCATCATATTATATTTGCAAAATGAACCAGGAGAAATAGGAGCATTTATATAGTCCTACTACTCAAGAGAATTTTCTAAAGAATGAGGTTGCTGATGTATTGCCAATGAAATTGGAAAAGCAATTAACTGTAAACTTGTATCATGTTCAAAATGTCTACACTAACTGCCATCCACTATAGATCTTGTACTTGAAATGGGTGGTGAGAGATATAGATATAGACAGATACATAGTTTCCTTCAATATCTCTTTTGTACATGGTTTATATCTATTATGATACATTATATACTAAGAAAAAGAGGACTAAAACAAAAAGTGTGAACATTGCATTCACAAGGATTGATTTTCTTTTTTTGTTCCTCATAGACATGTGATGTAGGGATCAAGGTTACTGCACAACATCCTTACCTCTAATAAGCTGCCCGTCTGAATAAACTTAGCAATATCACTACCAATAAATGAGTAACATTAGTTTTACTATAGACTATTTCCTTCTTAGAAGCTTTTGGACATGTATTTATCAACTATTCAATGTGTATAGCTTTTACAAAATAAGCAGAAACAGACTGCCAGTTGTACAGTGTTGCTCTAATACGGCTATGTTTCAAATGGAGATATACACTAAGGCATTGTTTCCATGCCCTCTTTCTTAAAGGAATGCCTTGCAAAAACAAATCAGACATAGGGCACTGAGGACCATGGTTTTGTTAGAATGTTACAATCATCAATACACTCAAATCTGTGCTTATTTACACTATTGCTTTTCCTTAAAACTTTTAGCATATTTTAAAATTTATTCAAAGGCATATTTGTAGGAGCTTCCACATGAAAATTACCTTCTGAGTCTTCTAGGTCTTTGACAACGTTGTTCAAAATTTTGGTCTTCCCAATTAAATCCTAAAATAGAGTAACAAAAAACGTGTGTATGGAAATTATGTAAAATGTAAGTTACTATCTTCAGTGGACCTTTGAGTCATGTATGACTTCTATACCAAACTCTGCATCTATCTCAATTGAATTACTGAAGTGCATGAAAGGAAAAAAAAACTGTTTTCTCCAATTTTAATCAGGAAAGGGAATTCATAGTCTTACCTAAAGCACTGAGGTTCCTGTAGGTCTCCAGCATGACATCTTTGTAGAGCTTCTTCTGAGAAGGATCCAGCAAAGCCCACTCTTCCTCACTGAAGTACACATGCACGTCCTCATAAGTCACTGCACTCTAGAATGTCACATACATGAGTACAAAAGAAATCACAACAGAGACAACATTGGGCATGTCTTCTTCATAGACAATGTATTCATCCAGTTCTGGGGCCTGCCCCGCTGATTTCCTGACACCAAAGTTCTACTGTAGCTACCAAGTCATATTAGAAGGAAACGTAATAATGAGGTTCACCCCTGTCATTTCTCCACCCTACAAATAGGACCCAGCCTTTCTAGAGAAATGTCAATTACAGATATAAAGAAGAGACAAGCTCTACAAGATCAATAATGCTTACCACATATCAAAGAAATTGTATCAACATTAACAATTACCAACTATAAAAATCAGTAACCAAGCTGGTTCTATGTGCTTAGGCCTTTAACACTACAGACAGAGGCAGAAGTTTCACACTGAGTCAGACACCAGTGTGATGTATACAGTGAGTACTAGGAAAGCCAAAGGTACATAGTGAGACCCTGTATCTCCTGAACAGAATCAACCAACCAAACTGGAAACATAGAAAGAACACATAGATTTTTCCTTAAGTTCTAACTTTTTAAAAAGATGTTATTTATTAATTTATGTATATGATGAGTACACTGTAGCTTTCTTCAGACATACCAGAAGAGGGCATCTGATCCCATTACAGGTGGTTGTGTGCTACCATGTGGTTGCTGGGAATAGAACTCAGTAACTTTGGAAGAGCAGTCAGTGGTATTAACCACTGAGCCATCTCTCCAGCCCTTTACTTAAATTCTTAAGAGAGCGACACATAAAATCCAGTTCTGTATTCATCTTCCAGAAACCTGAAGTTCACTGGTTCAAACTATAACATTAATAAGGTATTACCAAAGGGAATATATGTTTAAACAGTTACAATTGGACATCAGAAAATATTGCCAGTGCTAATGTATATTAGATTGTAAACAACACAGGGCAGGAGATATATCTCAGCAGTAAAGTATAGGGCATGGCTCTGATGCTCTGATTGGGAAACTGCCTGTAAACTTCAAAGGTCCTTGTCTTTAATAGTTTTTTTGATTGACCAATACAGCTGGGAGCAGCCAATGGATGAGTGGAAGAGGTGGATGAGTGGAAGAGGCAGGACTTCCAGATTCCCTAACATGAGGAAAGAGAGGAATGGGGCAGGAAAGAGAGATCCACCATGCTTTGGAGGGAAAGAGAATCATCAGCCGTGTGAGATCTCCAATGGAGTGGTCATTGTTCACTTCCCCAGGTGGGAGGCTGAAATACAACTAACCTGAGAGCAGAATTAGGATGTTGGGCAATGAGAAGGTAACTGGACAACTAAAGTGAGTGCAGGTTGAGAGTGTTGAGCAAGGAGTAAAGGAAAGGACACACTAGCAATGGGAGACTTGAACAGCCCAGCCACTGAGCCATGAGGCAAGGTATAAATATTGATGTGTATGTTTCTCACTCTCTCTCTCTCTCTCTCCTGTGGGGTGTGTGTGTGTGTGTGTGTGTGTGTGTGTGTGTGTGTGTGTGTAAGACTTTCATCCATGGATCCAAACAAAGTAAGGTTGGGTGCTGTTAGTACATCCGGCCAAGAAGGGGTAGTTAAAAGGTTTATATGCTACATGAAGACTTCTTGCTGGTCCTGCAAATAAGTGAGTTCAATTCCTTCTACATACAGGGCACACACAGCTATCCATTATTCCACTTTAAGGAGGTCTCAGGCCATCTTCTTATTACTGTGAGGACTGGACACACATGAGGTGTATAACCATACATACTGGCAAAAGACTGATGGATAGTTTTCCTAACATAAAGTCACACCAAACATGACAGGTGTCATGAATATGTGCCATCCTGGGGAATAGAATGATAATTTCTGCAAAATTTCAAAAATCAAGATGTGGGGGAAACTCAGCACAAAAGCATATGCTGGACATAGAAAGACATGTACATTATAGGGCCATCTGTCAATAAAAAAATGCTGGGCATGTTGGCCCACATTTGATTCCAACACTTGAAGCCACAATCTATTTGATCTCTACATTCAATGCCTGCCTGGCCTACAGGCCTACCTTAAGGACAGTGAGGGCCACAGTTAAACATTGTCTTCAAAAACAAGAAACTAATTTCAAAATATGAAACCTTAGTCAAGCAAAATATCATAGCACTGAACAGCTAGCTATTGCTTCTACTGCATCTTATGTGGTTTAAGGACAGAGTCTATTATGGGGAAGGCATGACAGGAAGGAAGGACATGAGAAGGAAGCTGAAGGATGATTTCAGTCACTACAGAGTAAACTGCAAGAAGAGGAAATGGATTAAGTCTATAGACACTCAAATCCCATCTCAATAAGGAATCACATCTAGAAGGGCTTCTTCTACAAAGCCTCCATATTCTCAAAAACAAAGGACACAATGAAGAGCTGAGTGTGAAAAGACAACATGCTATCTGGATTCTCTTTAATACACCTACTATGCTCTGACCTTGATCACTATAGGCTCATTGTCATTCCATGATAAAAATGAATTTAATCTAAATTCAAGGACCTTAAATATGCAAAAACATATACACTGTTCAAATGTCCAAAGTCTCTTTTGACCCTAAAGGCAACCTTTGGACTGTCACACCTTCTAAAGTCTGAAAACAAATTATATTTTCAAGATAAAATGGCATAGAATGCCCTTTCCCATTCCAATAGACAGGAATGGGTACATTGGGTAGATGGAGCAAGGCAAGAAGTCAGCAGGATAAACAGCAAGTCCTGTGACTCTGTCTCAGACACACATGGTTTCAATTTTAAGGGTCGACTTCTCATACACCTGATGGTTTGTTTACTTCCACTCTGGATATGCAGCTCTCCATAGAAAATGTCTCATACCCCGTGTATCTCAACATCCTGTGATCAAAAAATGCAAATGAGAATTCATCCTCATAGCTTCAAGCAATGAACTCACCCAGGCGTGTCATTGGAGCTCTGGTGCTTAGACACAGATATGGCTGGAACGGTGTTGAACTGAACCACAGACCAGGTATCCTTGACCTTGTTTTCAGAGCCCACAAGACATAAGTGGGCATGCTGAGATTGGCTTCTAAATTAGGGTGGACCCCCAACACAAGTGGACATCAGTTGTAGCAGGTTTTTCATGAAGTTGTTTACTGGGACTAGAACTCATGTTGCCTCATCCCACCATTAATTGGAGAGTTAGCCATAAAGAGTGTTATTCTTGCCTCTTTTTTTTTCCTTGCTCCAGCCCCGCTCGCTCCAGGCCCGCTCTGCTCGTTCCAGCCCAAAGGTTTTTACTTATTGATTATATGTAAGTACACTGTTGCTGTCTTCAGACACCCTATAAGAGGGCATCAGATCTCATTATGGATGGTTGTGAGCCACCATGTGGTTGCTGGGATACGAACTCATGACCTTCAGAAGAGCAGTCAGTTCTCTCAACCACTGAGCCATCTCTACAGCCTGAAAGAGTGTTATTCTTAAGGCAACTCTAAGATTTTAAGTCCATAGCAAAGATCTTTTCTTCAACTGTGATAATCTCATTGCATTTCAATTCTTGCTTTTGTTTCAGCACTTGAGAGTCATCTGAAACTACCTCACGTTATTCTTCTCTATAACCCACAAATTTCCATCTATTTCCAATCCACTTGTGGAGGTTTTTCACTGTTCTCCTGAATGAGTCACTAGTAATAACCTTCCTAAAGATTATGATTCGGTCTAGGGTATCAACCCCTGGCTTTGAAATCCGGCCCTACACAATATCCCACGGTATGGGCAAAATGAGAAGGATTTGAGGCCAAATTATCACACAAATGACCTGTAGCTTAATTTTTCATGGAGTCTATTTTCCACTGAAATCCTATGACATTGATTTCCTTTGCATGCGTTACTATTATCAGGCCAATCTTCAGGGTTCTATGAGGACAGTTAATTAAGATGAATGTAGATTTCAATGCCTTTTGCCATCTAAAGATCCTATATTTTCAACATACCTGCAAATGACAGCAGTCCTAGGTTCTGTCTAGAGGCAAAGTAATATTTTACTTAACATTGTATTTTTTCTAACTCGCATGTTAGAACTCTTGTGATTCAATCATATAATAAAGTGTCTTAAGTAAAACACAGGTTTATTTGACTGGTAATTTCAGACAATATCCCATTATTTTGGAAGCTTATGCTAGAGAATCAAGTTTCAAAATCAAAATCAAAACCATGGGCAAACACTGTTTCCTGGCCTGCTCTCTTGCTTGCTCACTGTCTCATGCTCAGCTAGCTTGCTCATCCAGCCCAGGCCCATTTCCTTAGGGATTCTTCCACACACAGTGGAAGAACCTTCACTACTCAATTGTCAATCACCACACTCTCTCATAAAGCAATCAGCCATTCTGATTGGGGCACCCCATCAATTAAAGTTCCCTCAAATGTTTATAGGTTCTGAAATGCTGACAATTTAAGCAAACAAGGACACAGAGATAATAATAAATTAGAACCCAGTTAAGAATCCAAATCCATATCAGTCATTTAAGGATGAAAAACGAAAACATTGACGATTGCAAAAACTGAAAAACACAGATTTTTCCAAGAAATGAGGAAGCAGCCTTTTAGGGTCAGAAGAGAAAACTAAAATTGTTTCTCCACAGAAAGTTCCTAAACCAACAAAAACTCAAGGGATTTATAATATAGTAAATTATCAGAAGACCAAAGTGGTTAAAGTTTATCATTTCCTAGACAAACAACAATATAATTAGATTATAGATTATGAATCATACACCATAGATGACGGCACTGGAAAATGGAAACACAAAAACAGATCTGAGAAAATAGCATGGTCACTTAGATAAGAACTGCCAGATTGCTGTGCACTGATGGCATACGCTTTTAATCCCAGCACTTGGGAGGCAGAGGCAGGCGGATTTCTAAGTTCGAGGCCAGCCTGGTCTACAGAGTGAGTTCCAGGACAGCCAGGGCTACACAGAGAAAATCTGTCTCCAAAACAAACAAACAAAAAAAAACCAAAAACAAACAAACAAACAA